CTCACCCTAACTATATTTTTAGTTAGAGGTAGTAGTGGCATTTATAAATTTAAAACTTGGCCACACTATTTTGCACAAATTTGGTTGTACCCACGACGAACCACCACTTCACCACACCCTTATAACTATGGTCAGATGTGTTTCGCATGGGGAACTTTACATAATGTATAACCATGATTCGGGTGGCATCATGCTCACAACGGAATCGCCAAGAAGATGAATGCACATACAACATACAAACTAAGAATAATCTATCTTCGGTTGGACGACTCGTCTACCTAACTATGTTACACTAGGGCGTTGGACGGCTCGTCTTCCCTAAGCATGACCTATCAAAGTTCTTTCATTGCATGCCATGAAAACCATTGCTTAAGCTTCATCCCTATTGTCACTATAAGGATGATTTTGGTTCAATCAAGACAAATAAGCTTTCTAAGACATGAAAAAGGTTTCATCAAGAATGAATATAAGCATTAAAATCAATTACTCCCTCCGTCCCAAAATAGTTGGGCGCTTCGGGAACTATTGGAGTATAAGAGAATGACAAATGTAATTTCAAGGTTAAACAACTTGTTATACACGTACATAAATTTCCCCAAATATAAACACAATTAAATCAAAGTTACTTGGAGAGGGCTACATCAACTCCCTAGTTAAGAAGTTAGTCGTTCATGGACAAGGTAGAAGCCTCCATGGTAGAAGGAACACCATCTCCAAGCTAGCTACCAATTTTCCTCTTCAAAACCCTAAAACCCAATATTACTCTCTCTAGAAATATCTTCCCCAAAATGTGATATATGATAATGATGGTATAATTCAGGAAAAAAAAAAAAACTGATGGTATATGGAGTGTATATCTCCAAATGTGTGGTCAAAGAGCTCCAAAATCGTGTACCAAGGGCTTGCAACTAGATCCATAATTTTAGGGGTCAAAGTTGTTTTTTAACAACCTTTCCAACTAAGCTTCTTAAAGTTGTACGACTGGTCGCCCATGGGCGACGACTGGTTGTCGCAGGTCAAGGCCTTTGCTGCGCGCGCCGTGGCTTCCTGTGCGACAATGGGTAACCGGTCACCCTTAGGGACGTTCGGTCGGTGAGATAGGGAACTTTTGTTTTGGGGCTCAACTTCTGGGATTAATGAAGGCAACCGGTCATCGCCAATGAGCTGTGACTGGTGACCGGTCGTAGGTTGATGGATGGCACTCTTTGCTCTTGGGCTTGGATTGAGCTTTGACCCAATACTCGCCTTCAATTACGCCCACAATTGACCATGGTCTTGGTCCAAGTACCTTAAAGTCTTCATTGGAAATTGGCTTGAATGGAGGCATCATTTGACAGCTCGGAATTCCCGCTTTACTTGATTTGGGGATACTTACCTGAAAATAGCAAAAACACGGAAATGATATAAAAGCATAAAATAAATCTAGGGTAAAGTACAATGACACCCCTTGAGGTTTGGGTTAAAGACAGATAGATACAAGTTGGTTTATTTTTGGACAATGACACCCCCTGATAAGATTTGTAATCCAAATAGAGCCTAAAAACATGTGAAAAGTCTACTTTAACCTTCATTTGATTAATTTTAATGGTAAGATATCAAAATAATTAGAGGACCGAATTACCCTTTTCCTATATATATTATACCCTGGACAAAAACAACCACACTAGACCATGCCTCATCATAAAACATATAGGCGCTAATGTAATCTTAAAGCACTGCCCCCAATCTAAACTCCCAAAACCCAATTTCGTCTCTCTCAACATTTTCTCTCTCTGCTCTAAATCACCGTAACTATAGGGATGGCGACGGTTGTTGTCTGCTATGGGTTGTGGTGGTTGTTGACTTTGGGGATGGTGGCGGTGGTTGTCAACTATGGGGATAACGATTGTTGACAGGGATGATGGCTGTGGTGGTTGTATGGTGGGAAATGGCAGTGGCGAAGCCGACAATTGCAACCCATCCCGCCACCGAAAGACATCAGCATGACGCAGACGCCGTCATCAACGCCTCCACCACCACCAGTTGTCGGACCTAAAACATCCTCCGACCTAGCATCCCTTGCAAATGGAAACCCTCACGCGTGTCACCAAAGTAGCCAACGAAAAGCTTCGGTAACCCTCATTTTCAGTTTCGATGACCCATCTCAATTCTTCAATCTCCACCTCCAAGCTATCTCCGGTGATCCTTGCTCGTGATCGAACCCCAAAGATCCCTTAGAAATCATGCTCGCCCCTACATCGTTGTTCACTCTTGCTCGTCAGAACCGCTACGGGGCACTGTTGCGGTCAATCCGTGCATGTGGATTTGATCGGCCTCCATTTTTTTGCTGGCGGTGGCAGCTCCCTCATCGTCGTGGTGGCGGCAATAGTGAATGCACAATGGTGGGTGGTTTTGGGGATGGAGACGATGGCGGGTTTGAGGGAGAGGCAGTGGTGGCTTGTTTGGGCTAGGGCTAGGGTTAGGGTTAGGGGAAAGAGAAGAAGAGTGTGAAGGGAGAGAAAAAATGGGGTTTTCAGATGGGTTGTACCCGGTAACTCATTTACACCTATTTGATCCAATGGTATTTATGTCAATTGAAAATGGTTGTATTGTTTAAATTGATAATTTAATGTGTCAAAGGGCAGTAACGTCAATTCACCATCGCCGGGTGTCTTTGTCAACTTTATCAAACTTGAGGGGATGTCATTGTTCAAAAATAGGCCAACTTATATCTATATGTCCTTACCCCAAACTTGAGGGGGTGTCATTGTACTTTACCTATAAATCTAACTAGAGAGCTAACATATGCAAATAAAAGGGCTTGAATGCACAAAATTTCGGCACTTATCACATGGATTGGGCTTCAGCCCAACCCAAGAATAGGCACTAGACATGGATTGAAAAGGAAAGATGGCATGCAGCAGATGGGCCAAGGGAAGTTTAGAATAGATCCAAAGATCAATTTGATTCTCAGGTGAGTGAACCTAACATTCTTCCTTCCTCTCATCTTCCATTGGCCTGCCGGCGGCGTCTTCAGGAGTAGGCAATTCTGCAGAGCTTGTTGCCAGGGTGATCGACCACTTTGATATTGGCGTAGGGCAGTAAAATCCCGTTTTCCACACTTCCAGCAACTTCCAGCTCATTTTTGACCAAGTTAGAGCTGGATTCACTAGTGAACTACAAACTTAAGCTACTCTGAATCGTGTTTACAGGTCTTCAAATGGGAGCTCTATCTGATTTTTCAGTCAAAAGTTACAGCCAAATGAATGTGACAGCTCTGATATTGTCTTTCCAGATTTTTGTGTTGTGCTGTCCATTTCCTGATTAATTTTGACCCATTTAGAGTTTGATTCATGAAATGCACAAAACTACAAAGTTATAGTTCTCCAAGTCTTCTTTCACATATGTAATTTTCTCATCAATCTGATTTCTGAGTTGAAAGTTCTGGCCAAACAACTATAACAGCTTTGATGTTGAGTTCCAGATTTGTCTATTTTTCTGCTTCCAGCTAATATTTGACCAATTTGGAGCCGGATTCATGAAATTGACAAAACTACAAAGTTGTTGTTCATTGAATCAGCTTTCCAGGGATATAAAGTACAGCTCAATCAGACATCTGTAGCAACTGACTGCACTACTACTATTAGAGTGATTATATTGCAACTGAGGCTGAATGCGTTCTTAGTTTACTGTGTTAAATATGTTTTTCCTTAATTAAATAAGATTCAATGTGCTCAGATATGTGAAAGATTTTGAGATGCAATTGTCTGGAAAGTAAGTGAATGTGGTTTTTCTCTGTTAGATACAGTTATCAGAAATTGGCCAGCTTTTGGGAAAATTAATTTACCTGGACTAGTGGTTACACTTCTTATATTCTAGGAAGTGCCTTTCATCACATGGTTGGAGTGACGGATAAATGTTGGAGGGCGGATTATTTGAGAAGTAGAACTTGGTCTATGCTGATTATTGGTGAATCATTTTTTGCACTGGTAGTAGTGTGGATCTTTTGTCAATATTTAAGAATTTTTGGCTGAGGCCTAAAACGGTTTTTGATATTATTCTTGTGTCTGAGCCTTGGTTTGGTCAATAAGTACTTGAAGGGTATCGTTGGAGACCCTCATGCCCCATGCCGGAGCATTTGGAAGAATATTCGAAGATAAGGAACTTCTGCAGTTCCAAGTTTCCAACTGAAACAGTCATTTGGAAACTTTTTTCCTTTCAGTATCATTTAAGTTGGGAATAGCCTCACCCCAATGGAGCTCTTTTATTCTCAGTGTGTGTGTGTGTGTGTGTGTGTGTGGTCTGTTTTTTTGCTTCTCTTTGGCTCTTTTGTTTTACCTTTCAAGAAAGGGTTCTGGGGCATGCTTAAACAAACCCAATAGTGTGGAGCAAGAATATTGAAACCTGCTTTCATCCATTTTACAATTTGGTTCTCCAGTTTCTTTGGTCAGCCTATCTATCTTCCTCAATAGTAGTTTTAAAACTGGTGAACAAAATTATCTCATAGCTTTTTCCATCCTGATAAGGTGGTGGTTGACAGTGTGTCTGTGATTGAGAAAGTTTTGAAAATCATGCAATGCCACAGATTTTTGGCTTCATAGTTGATAATCTCATAATTGAATTCATAATAAATTTTGTTTGTGAAAAAAAGGAAATCCTCATAATGGGATTCGTATTTTCTGCTTTAGCACCAGATATTTTGATATAATCTGTCGAGATAATAATAATAATTTGGATAATAGATATATCTGGCTGAGACTTCATATGTCAATTGCTCTCATAATTTCTTACTTCAGAAAGTTCTAGGACCATAGGTTGCAAATATATAGTTTTGAAAATTTTCAAGAGGCCTCGGAGGTTCCGTTATTTGGTATTTTATAGTTTATGCACATTCATATTATATTTTATTTATGCCAATCTTCTGTCAAGTTACTGTTGGAGGTTAAAGCGTGAGATAGAAGCCAACATTTATCCTTTCTGTTTCTCTTACTGCAGTGCATATCGAGCATTGTACATTTTAAACTTCACTGAGCCTCATTATATACATTGGATAAGTAAGTCTCTCTCTCTCTCTCTCTCTCTCTCTCTCTTGTTTGTGCGTGCATGCATTGCGTTGTGTGCTCATGCTCACGCATTTAATGCTAACTTGATGAATCGCTATGTTTCATTTAATGCATCTAAATATTTATTCATTTATGTAATGGTTCTGCTATTGCAGCTTGGATATCAGGGCTTATTCAGACATTACTTTATGCTGATTTCTTCTACTATTACTTCCAAAGGTATACGCTTTGATGTTCGAAAGTAAATGGAAGCATAAATTTGTTCTTTGCATAAAACATGACTCGTTTTATTGTAATAGTTTGCAGCTGGAAGAACAATGTTAAGCTTCAGTTACCAGCTTGAGCTTGTATTTTGACAAATTGTTGGCAGGCTAAGGATTCCAAGAAGCATGCAAGACTATGAATTTTTTGTATCGCAGGTGCTTGGTTTTCTGGTCTTGTCACCCCATCATTTTGAGTGCTCTAATTGGCATGTTAAGCACAACATGTGTTGCTGCTACTATTATTTTTTTCATCAAGCGGGGTTTTTTTTCACCCCATATATCGGATGTTTGATTTACTGTGTAGTCGAGCAGGGATTTTAGGGTTTTTTTTATTTGAAAATTTGGTATTGGAAGTAAAACAAATTCATGTGGTTATGTTGATTCTCTGTTAAGAGTTGTATTCCTTGTTATTTGATACAGAGTGGATGTATTGACTTAGAAGGACAGTCCAAAATTTTTTGATAGTTTTGAGACAAGAAGTTGCAGCTTCCATTGCAAGCTGGGTTAACCCCTTTGCGCAGATCGACTAGTTCCTTTGCAATGAATTGTGTGTGTGTGTGTGTGTGTGTGTGAGAGAGAGAGAGAGAGAGAGATTGGTGTCTATAGTTAAAACAAAAGCCAGGACATTAACACCCATTGGAAGTGTATTTGTATGGATTAAAGACTTGCATGCTAGCCTCATAATAAGTCCTAAATTTGAGCTCTATGGAACCACTTGGTCCACTTAGGCTTGAGCTCCATAGAACCACTTTCTTAGGGCTAACAAAGATTGTGTATGGCACATCAAGCTTATGTCTAGGTCATGACTTGTAGGGAATAATCAGTTTCCTTACCCACCCAGTAATTTCTCCTTATCAGTTCCTACCATTAATTTTGTAAACGATCTAAGCTATCCAGCCATCAAACCTTTCATTTTTGGCTGTTTATGATTATTTTTGAGAAATTTGTACATAGTCCCGAGCCAATCATTAACAGGCAAGCGAGTAAATGTGTCAGACTTTTGTTCAATTTGTTTTGCTTCGTGTCAACTTTGGCCGAAATCATATAATAATGGCTCAATTTTGAGAATTTTACGACATGCAATTGATATTTTCATCATTGGAAGCATACAAATTGTGTGTGTGTGTGTGTTGTTGTTAAAATTTGAAGTCTTGGTCACTAAGGCATTGTTAACCCTAAAAAGAATGATAATTTATACTTCCAATGATGACCCAAGTACTCCTGATCCCATACAGGATAGTTTAGTTGATCCTCAATTTGTATAAGGAGTTTACATCTTCACATTTTGTTCGTGTGAGGAGTTCACATCATCACATTTTGTCCTTCAAAGTGCTTTGTCTTGCTGTTGTAGTGAGTGCTATTTCATCAAAAGAAGCAAATATTTTGTTTGTTTGACCATGGTCCAATGATAATGAATCTATTGTAACCCATATAAAATAATATAAACATGGGTTTTAAATATTATGTACTATATTATTAATATCAAGTAAAAAATAAATTTTCTGTTGCCATCCTTGGGAACTTAATATATATATTATGCACTATTATTAATAACAATTAATATCCACAAATGCTTCATTTAATATGTAATAGTGCATAATTCATTTACCGTGACCATTATATAGTAATATTTTCTCAAATGCTTCACTTGGGAAGATCCTAATTTATACAATAGGATTAGACAGGGTTAAAACTTTTTATTATTATATATATAATATTTGCTTATAATATATTTTTAATTAATTTTAAGATTCTAATTTGTATTCTTATTAATTTTTAGAATAAAATACAGTAAACCCAAGTTGACGCGCAAAATTTTTGTGTAAGGTTTACACAAAAATTTCGTCTTCTATTAATCATTAATTGTGCTACATGCTAAATTAAGTGTGTCACATATAATTTGTGTTCCGACTTTGAATGAACAACTCATACACGAACTTAATTTTCGGAAAAAAAAAAAAAAAAACTCAGACACGAACTTTCTACGAAACTTCCGTTTATACAGTTTCCTATATAAGAAAGGGCAGCCTATTTGAGAAAAACTAAACAAAAGTCCTTTTCATCACAACCAAAATCTCCCGCCCTTTTCATCACAACCAAGCCCACCTCCTTCACCAATTATGTCTACTCTCGACCCCGAAGCTGCAATGGTTGAGCATCATCAATATCCCCAGCAAATGCCAGAACCAGCAGTAGTCATTCCTAATGCCCTTGGTGTTGATGTTGGTGGTGTTGCTGCACGTAACAATGCCCACTACAATGTAGATTGGCCGGTGCTAGTAATCGGATTTTGCTTCCAATGGGCAGTTGCAGTCGCTGTTCAATCCTTCCAAACTAGTGCCCCGATCTCACTGTCTGCGAGCTTCCACTTGCTATGTCTCGCAATGGTGGTCGCTGTGGCTGCGCTGTTTGTGTCCAAGTACATCTCTCTAAGTTCCCGAATCGAGCCCGAGTGCTTGAGCATGTTGGGGTCCTATTTGGTGTCACGGCCTTCTTTTCACCATCACTGTACCTTTCCCGCTCGGCCTTAAGCTCATTTACTGGACCATCTATGCTCTTTCTCTACTTAGTTATTTTTCTCTGTATTCACCATTAGCTTTGTGTTTTCTTGTTTCAATTACTTTCATTAGGCACTAAGGATTACGATGGTACTTTCTCACATTTCAAAGTAAAAGGTCGAAGGTTCAAGTCCCCATAGAAGTAATTGGAAGTGAGTACAAAAGTTAGGGCGAATCAGTGGAAAATGTATAGTTTATAATTAAATGAAAATGAAAAATTAAATGAAGCATGATTTCTTTAATATTTTCTAAAATGAACAGTACCAAGTTCTTATCCCGTTAGAATATAGTCTTAGGGAGGGAGGACTCGAGATAGATAGACCCAATCTTGGGTATTTCACAACATGGATACTCTATGGCTTGAATTTTGAATCGATCTTTTGGATTTGGAATTGAAAAACATACAATGCTCCCGAACACAACATTATCGATTTTTATTATTTTCATTTATGTTAAACCATACGGTATCTCTCAAATGGGAAACTGATATTGGCTATAATTATGTTCTTGACAGGAAATGGTAAAATGAATTTAGGAAAAGGGTGCAGATTATATCATGGGTTTCTAACTCCCTTTTAATATGGAGACAGGAAATGGTGTGTTTATACGCTTGGCGGCATCGAATCAACACCTTGAATTTGGGATTGAAAAAGCATGACACGAGATACAAATATTTAAGCTTCACTCAAAATTCTAAGTACCCTTATATTTACTGAAAAAAAAAAAAAAAAAAAAAAAAAAAAAAAAAACAACAACAACAACAACAAAACTCTAAGTGCCCTTATATACTGAATCATAAGAGAATACCAAACAGAGTTTACAACATGTATGCAAAAAATGAGTTAAAAAATATTATTGGGTTACGAAACAATAATTCCCGACAAAATACGTCAATTGTTTGTATGGGAAAACCTCGTGAACTATTCAGTCTAAAGTGAACCGATCCACTATGTTTGAAACAAAGTACACCGAACTTTGACTCTGGCTCACACCCTATCGTTCTACCAAACACTAATTGCTGACAATTCTCTGATTTTGCGACTCCCCGTCCAACACCAACTTGACCTCAGGCTTATGCTTTATATTTGTAGAAAAGTAGTAAGTAGACCAGACAACACTCCTTGAATGCTCTAACCCTTTCAAAGTATGATCGATTTTACTTATGTTCTTTAAGATCTGAACTCGATGTAGAAAAATTAAATCATGCTCTTTATTCGGAATCTCTGAATCTTCAATATAGCTCCAATTCCGATGAGATAGAGAACAACATAACTATATCACTCATGAATATATTTGTGTGCCCTCAAAAATAAATTCAGAATAATTAGATTTGATTTTTTGAATTTTTCTCTCTCTAAAGGCTTTCTCAAAATATATAATTGTTTTCCCTAAAGCCATCAAATAAACCTAGATGACTACCAAGGTTTATATAGAGTTTAATATGTCCTATTCCCTTTAAAAATATGAAAAATTTCGTGTATAGGACTTGGAAAGAAGTTGGGATCAAAAAGGAAACAATCAGAAGAAGAAACTGAAAGTTCTAATGCTATCAGGACTCTTGGTACCGGTTCCCAATTTTGGTTCTGGTTCAAGAAGTCAGAAACCTTTCTGACGCACTTTGGCCACCGATTCCCAACTATGGTACCAGTTCAAGAAGGGCAGTAAACAAACCTGTTGTGGACTAAGGTTTGCAACCGGTTCAAGGATTCTCCTACTAGTTCCGAATGGATCTATGTTTCCTTCAACCTTCTAAACTCTCTAAAGTGTCCTCACTCACTCACATACCTTCCTAAAGCATTGTTCTTATCATCTCAAAGTGTAGTAAATCATGAACACTTGAACTTCTTCAAATTTGCAATCGATCTTCTTCAATCTTGAATTTTAGAACTGAAAAATAACAACTCGATCGGACTTGTTTTGACAACGAAATTAGCCAATTATAAAATATATCTCACAATCTCCCCCTTTGGCAATTTCATGACAAAACCCTAAAAACAATCCAACAATCTACCCAAGTAGGAAAGTAAATTACAATGATTGTTAAATGAAATAAACCGCGAAAATTTCTTGAACCTTATGAAGCTTCAACACATGTAGCAATCTGTAATATGCACATTAATCAGAAAATAAACACAAGTATAAAATAACCATGCTAATAATGCCTGAATATCAATGCAATGAACAATGATTCTCCCCCTCAATGCAAAAAGTTCTCCCTATTAATGCAAAAAGTATCTCAACTCTCTCCCCCTTTTTGTTACAAATTAATAAGGGTCTCAAGGATGAAATATCCTAGAAGAAGGAAGCAACCAACTATATAAATCTTGTAAATTAAAACCAATGAGAATGTAGACTCCACAATAATATATATATCAGCAGAAATAACTAAGATCAATTCTTTTAAGTTCCACAAACTTAGTAAGTGTAGTAAAATCACCACCAAGTTCCAAAAACATATGATCTATTAATTGCTCAGATTTCAAATAATAAATCAATGATATCACATATCGTTAGAAATCAAATAATCAACATGTGCAAAAGATAATTTTTTTTTTCTCTTTGTACTCCATTTTTCTTTTTGCACATTGGCAGCTTTCACACTTATGGGAAACCAGCTCTTTCCCTTATTCCCATTTGTTTCGAGTCAAGGTTGTAATATTTCTGATTTTTACCCTTTTTCATTTTTTGGAATTTTTCATTTTTACAGGGGCATTTTTGTCTTTTCATGTTTAACGTGCTGGATACCGTGGGGTGTGTCGAGTGTGTTTGAGAGTTGGTTGGGGGCATTCTATTGAGTTTAGGACTCTTGGAAATGCAAGGGTTTCTATTTCGACATTTTTCTATTTTTTG